ATACCCTATCATCTGCCGTTGATCTATCGGAATGCCACCGTCTGTCATGTGAGGCACTTTGACTGCCTGAACCGTGCGGAATTGGAGAATGTGGATGGCGAGAGTACGGCCTGCAAGGAGCATTGCCTGACCAGCTGCCATGATGTCACATACTTTCCGAATCCATTCGCCATACCCACAATGCCCTTTAACCAGCAGGGTGCACGGGTCAAGAACGAGTACTTCAGAAATTTCTCAACGGATTTCATTCTCAAGAACCTGGCCATTGTCAATTTCTATCACGATGACAATTACTTTCGCAGCTATGTGCGTTCCTCCTACACAGGCCCCACGGAATATATGTGTAAGTGCGTCAGCCAAAAAGATTTCTTCATTAAAGTAGCATATAATTTTTTTATTTTTTTTTCTCCAGCATTAACCGGCGGCATTATGAGCCTTATGTTTGGTTTCAGTGTAGTTTTCATGTCGGAACTATTCTATTTCATATTTCTGCGCTCACTTTTCGAGTACATCCAGCTTTGGTGTCTGGCTCGTCGTAATAGAGTCAACATATTAGACGCAAATCAATAAAGTACGCACTCTTAATATTCCCTGACTCTGAATAATTGCCAACGAAATGGAAAATTCTCGAGAACAAATGCTGAGACACTTAAGTAACTATTTATAAGGGCATCAAATGTTTGTTTTTATGCCCTTGCTGAGGGCATTTTAATTCCGTATTGAATAGAAGGAGTCATCTCTGATCTCATATGGTATGTATATATATTCTTGATCAGTATCAACAGCAGAGTTGATATATCCTCATCAGTTTTGAAGCTATCGTCATGACACTTTGCTAACATCCCATCGGACAACTATATCATATAAGTGACATAGGAACGATCGGTCGCAAAGTAGTTTCTTGTAAGGAAAAATGTTTTGTTCTTCAAGCTATTTTACGAGCCTTACTATTCTGTCGAATCTAAAGGTCCCTAAGCAAAATGTCTCACTGGTTATTAAATCTTTGGCCGAAGAAAGTCAATGTAATTTCTAGTTGGAATCACAAATTAATTTTACAACGAAGCTATTCGAAAGCTCTTATACAATTGGATCCCACTTTATTATATCGTTAGCCAATGTCAAAGAGAAATTTAAATTCGTATTTACTTTGCAACTATAACTTGTTTAATCATAAGTAAATGTTTTCTTTAGACGCTCTAGTCGGCAGTTCTCGACTAGGGGAGAAAGTATGTTGCATACTTTCGGGCGCTTTAAATATTGAATAATTATAACCACCCGGATTGAGGAAAGAGATTTTCTTTTTAAGAACATTAATTTTATGAATATAATATGGAACAAGTAAGAGGTTCTAGTCGGGAGCTACCGACTAGGGGATACCCTGAACCCTTTTCTTCCAACATCAAATGCATATATGTGTATATTTTATTTTAGAAGCTATATGTAAAGTTTGGTGACTCTAGCTCTTATTATTTACCAAAATTGCCCAAAAAATAGGAAATCGATATCGATTTTTATCGATTGCTTGTAAACGGAGTAAGTTAACGATTATCGGAAACAAACTCCATCTGCGCAGGCACTAGGAGCACCTACATCTAATTTGAAGTCTCTAGCTCTAGCTCTACGGACAGACGGACAGATAGACAGACAGACGGACATGGCTAGATCGAATCGGCTATTGATGCTGATCAAGAATATATATACTTTATGGGGTCGGAGATGCTGTCTTCTGCCTGTTACATACATTTGCATTTTGCACAAATAAAATATACCCTTAAACCCATTTTTAATGGGTTCAGGGTATAAAAATCCTTGGACATTTTTGCAATTTATCAAATTCTAAATAGTGCCATCTTTTTAAGTATGTTTCTCTTTAAATATAACTAAAAGCTGATTAAGAGCAGAATTGCCTGAGAAACTCTTGAAAACATCAATGTTTATTTCCCACAATAATTAATCATAGGAATAAGCAACAATCAAAAGGGAAAATTGAAGATAACTTGATGGAATAACTCATCTGAATAGATCTGGGAATGTGTCACAAATCATTCACCCCAGATCCAACCCCGAACAGACAGGCAGCCACCTTTTGGGGAAAGTGGAAATGGAAATGCCGTGGAAATGCCACAGAAATTGAAACAGTTGCTTGGAAAAATCAAAACGGCAAGAACAAGAACAAATCGAGTTGCCCTTAAAATAAAAAAAAAAAAAAACACATCCACTGAAGCGAAAACTTGGTCTCTTGTAATACAATCCGTGCGTAACTGCAATTACTTAGTTCTATCTATGTATCTATGTATCTTACGGATGCAGGCGCTAAAGGTGAACAAACTCTGCTGCGCATGCGTCGCCCTGTCGCTGTCATCGTGGTTTCTCAGCTACGCTCTCTGCTCGCGGTCGTTGTCATCCAATTTCAAAACATGAAATATATTTGTCAATTTCCCGTCCGTGCCAGAACTCCTGTCTCCGGGTTGAATGAACTTGCACACAAATCCTGCAGCTCGGAGAGACTTGGCTCGTTCGATCCACGGTACAGTTGGAACTTTGTAATAGATGGAATGAAATAGAATAAATGCTTGACTAAAAGCTGCATTGCTTAATAGATCTATACGCTTATTTAATATTTACTTATTTGAAGAAAGGTTTTTGATAAATTTTTGACCAAAAGCTGTATTGCTTAATAGATCTATTGATATTTTCTTTACTGTATTCCAATTGGATTTGAAAACTGCCTTTAGCTTTTTTCTATAGTAAATACCTTTATCTTCTGCATAGCTCAATTTCTATATAATTCTATTATAAACTGGGATTTGCATATTGTCGAACTGTTCGCGGGGTGCTACAGACACATCGTCTGCTGGGGAAAGGAATCTAACGGATCCGCGTCCGATTCGTCTGCCACTATTTTTAGATGCCTGTCGTTGTCGTCTTCTCCTCTCCTCCTCCTCCTCCTCTTCTTGTTCTTCTTCATTGTCTAGTTAGTAGCCGACGGAACCGAGCGCTGCTCTTGCTGCCGAGGGCTGTTGCCATTGGGGCTGACTGTGGCACAGCTCGAGCAGCATTTCAATTGCATTCCAACGCGCGCTCGGTACGGATTTACGGCCACAAATCGAACGGATAAGATATAGATACGTATAGGATATGAAATATATTCAGGATTATCAGTGAATGTGCATGTGAATTTGATTCACGAGTGATAAACAATTCTACACAGTTCCTAACTACCCAACCAAAACATACCAAAAAGGATTACTCGCATTAATATTGAAGGAGAAGAAATCAAAATATTATAAAAACTATTTAGAAGCTCAGCCAAACTAATTGATATTCAATTTTTGAATTTACTCAATTAAACAAAAAACATTTAAAACACATTTAAATAAAATACATTCAAAAAGGTGTGTATAAAATAACCTACAAAAAAAGTGATTAAAATCAATTAAATTATTTAAATTTTTTTTTAACGTTATTCGAAAGTATTCGAGTGTTCAGAGAAAATTTCCAATTGATCTTAAGTAGTCTCTAGCCAAAAATGAGTAATGCGAATGTAATTTGATGTCAGGGCCAGTTGACAGAATTAGCATGCCTCTTCCATGTTGCATCAAATGCTGGATGCCAGACCAAATATAGCGCCCATGAGTGTTCGAAGCTAAAGTGACCACATCCCAATGTATTTAAGTGCCAGAGTGTAAAGATTGTCTTCGGCACGCCGAAGTGCAAATACCCTAACAGGTATGTGAGCAGAAATTTTGAAGCTCGTTCGGTTTTCGAGATATTTTGCAAAGACAGATAAGCCGTCGCACATCGGCTATATATACTCTATAGGGTCTATTCTAGGTGTTACACCTTTCGTGACAGAATGTAAATACCCTGTTCCAGTGTATAACAGCGCGGAATAGCTTCAATTTAAATTGGAAAGAGACTGAAATATGTCGCATGCTCCCTCCACTTTTCATTTTACTTTCCAACTTAACAAATAAAAAGCAAAAAAAAAACCTAGGGAAAAACGTAAACAACAGGAGAAAAAAAAAAAGAAAAGAGTGAACGCGGCACAAGTTCAAGATTCTCACAGATACAGTCAGACAACCCCGAGAGCTAAAAGTAGAAACGCACGAGACCGAGGCAATAAACTGAGAGACGAAAGTAGTTTAATGCAGTTTGCTGGGGATCCTTGACTTCTGCTTCGCCAACTGTTCCCCGATGCATTTTCCCGCTTTGGCGCACGACAACAACACGAACAACAACAACAACAACAAAAACACGAACAACAACAAAGTAACGACATCGCCTGCGTTTAGTTCCTCTGCCTATCCCGATCCCGATGCGATAGTTTGCTTGATCTATTTTTGGCCTAGCCAAGCCAGGCATTGTCTTGTCGCCTCGAGTAATTTGTTTGTGGCGTTAGTTTCGTGTTAAATCTACACTGAACAAATTTAGACAGTACCAATATTACAGCTATAAGAGCATTGTCAATTCAATTAAAATATCGTCTATAAAATTTTATTTATTATATATAGCTTAGGAAAGCGTGCAGCCTGTGTATAAAAGAATAAATAACAGTTAACAGTGTTAAAGTTCGATATAAAAACTAGTTCAAGGTTTTAAAGAAATTTGGCATTTTGAACCAGTTGCAAAAAATTGCAAGCGAGCTAGCTAGTTCAAATGTGACAATTTGAACCAGTCGTAAGAACTTGCAAGCCAGTTAGCTAGTTCAATTTGTTAAAAAAAAGTCACAATTGGAACCAGTTGCAAAAACTTGCATGTGAGCTGGTCACACGTTTTGGCTAATTTGCAAATTGTGCGCTCTTTTTTGAGCACCACTTTTTTTTTTTTTTTTTTGAATAGGCTTTGTGCCATTTGGACAGGTGTTTTCAGGTGTTTTAGCTGGCGCACAGTGTAAGCATTATAAATAGACAGTTGCTGGAAGTGACAACAAGCGGGTACAGGCGCAAAACAAACAAAGTGGCAGAGCAGCAGCAAAGCCATTGGCATCGATACTTTTGATATAGGCATCGTTAACAAACACAAACTGCCGAAATGTTTATTTAAGGCAAATGTTACGCAGTTACTTTTCGGCCCACAAACAGCACAACAAACATAAGATCCGATTCCAAACTGCAACTGCAACTGCGGACGCTGTCTTCGTATAAGTTGTGCCCCAATGGGCCGCAAATTAAAAATAGTGAGCATTAGACGAGCGCAACAACAACAACAACAACAACAACAGCAGCAGCAGCAGCAGCAGCAAAAGGCGCAGCGTCTGGAAATGTCAAGAGTGCGTCGACATTGCATGTTGACAGTGGAAATGCAACGGCAAACGTCAACGCCGACGTCGGCAGAACTATTACCGAGTTCCATGTAACGTCAACAGCGCGCGCGCGCGCCACACCTCCCCCGCACCCCGTAGACAGACGCACACAGAATCGTTGCAGGGGGCCAGCAAATGGAGTTGCCCATAAATGGGGGAAGTTGCGTGCGCATCTATCGTTTGGGGTCCACTTCCGTCTTCGCCTTCTCTCTCTCTCTCACTCTGTTTGCTGTCTGCAATTGCCTGGCTACCAGACGTGTGCGCTGCCAGATTTGTGTTGAAACAATTTCACATTGCTTTGGCATTAAGAAGCATTAAAGCTATAGGCTTATCATTTACAAGCTCGCACCTTAAAGATACACAAAGCGCAGGAAACTTGCACACGGAGCGGAGTTGAGCAGAGCAGAGCAGAGCAGAGCGGAGCAGCGCGGAGCTGAGTTCATTTCCGCTGGCGCTGGGCCTTCAGGCTGTCATTTTAGGGCATTTTTATGAATTGGTGAGGGTATTCGAATGTTGTCACGAAATGTAATACACATTGAGTTTATGTTTCCAATCCAAAAGGTTCTTGATCGGTATTAATAGCCGAGCCGATGTCTGTCCGTCAAAATAATCAAAATTAAAATTTTGATTAATCGCTCCTTGATTCTAAAAGGAAATTTCAAGCCTCATTGCAAATGCCTTATCATATGGCTTCAATGGGAACGTTCGTTTGAAGCTAAAACTAGTTGCGAATTGTAACGGTAAACAGCAAAAGCGAGCGCAAAGCACAATAACAACATTAGAGGAGTTTTTTTTTACAGCGTATTCAGCCTTCGGCATGCCCGAGCTGGCTCTGCTTGCTCGCTGCATTTGGTGGCACATTTGGTGGATCGTTAAAGTCAGCCCCTCCGGCTTCCCAAAAGACGTTCAATTAACGTTTTAATGTGCAATTACCAAAGTCTGCGCTAGTAAAGCTGTGCATTCGAACTAATTAGACACGTTTCTCTTTTTTACAGCTGACCCAATGTCAATGGCCACAATGCAGCTGCAGTCAATGGACGTGGAGCAGCTGGTGGAGCTGGAGACGCCACCGCTGCCCATACAGCCGCCCCCGAACATCAATGCCAGCGGCATTGTCTACGGCTTTCGCACACGCCACTTGTCCTGCATCGAGGAGAACGATTCGGACTCCCTGCACGGTTCATCCATACCGCGTGCCTACGATCTGATGCAGCAGGCAGATGAAACCTTTCAGAAGCTAAGCGCTGGGCAACGTTACGCAGCTGAAGAGGACGAAGGCGAGGAGGAGGTGGATGATGAGGAGGCCGAAGCGGAGCAGGAAACCGACGATGATGATGCGCTGGACACGATTGCCATGATTGATGAGTCACGTCTGTGTGATGCCGACTATCTGGACGAACTGATTGCCGTGGAGCAAACGGAGCAAACAGAGCTGGCCGACTCTGGCAATGTGGAGGAGGAGGACTTCTGGCAGCCGAACTTCAATCGCAACGACATCATGATGACCTCTTGCTATGGCACACTGAACAGCTCCTTTGGCAGCGACATGTCGGCCGTCGCAACGACGCCCAAGAAGGCGCCCGAGCCTCTATATGCCACGCCCGAGAAACGACGCGAGCAAAATCGCAGCTTCGACTCAACCTGCGCCTCGCAGACCAGCTCCATTTATGGCGGCTCCATGAATTCCTCACTGGATCTCAAGTACATGATGAGCGTGTCGCTGAGCGCCGCCGGCGCCAATGTTGGCCTCAACGGCACGAGCACATTGCGTGGCGCCTCAGTGCCACCTATGGATCTATCGCTTATCTCGAGCGACGGTGTCAGCGCCCTAGACTGGAGCTCCGCCAGCGTCACTTGTGTGCTCGACACGGGTGACGGCAATCCCGCCGAGGAGCTGGACGAGCAAACTGCAGCGAAGTGCATAAGTGCAGCCGAGAGCGGTAAGTACCATCCAGTTTCTTAAAGTTTTTGTTTCCCTCCACCCTTTAAAAATCGATGAAAATTATATATCGAAGTTGTGCTAATGTCTACATAAAGTATATACATAAAGTATATATATTCTCGATTCGCATCAAACATTGACTCGATTTCAGAGACTATAAAAAAGGGAAACTGAATAGGCAACTTTTTTTTGTGTATGCTTAAAACTTGCCCCATTTAAAGAAAAACCTGAACGATTTCTGCCTTAGCTTTTTTATACCCTAAACCCATTAAAAATGGATATAAGGAAGAAGAGGGTTTAGGGTATCCCCTAGTCGGGAGCTCCCGACTAGAACCTGTTACTTGTTTTTGATTTCTCAGCCTAGGGCTAGATATACCCTATTTAGGCTGTAAGTTTCGGTTTGGTCGAGCTTCAGTTTATCATGCAATCATATTGCATGAAAAATTTGATAAGAATCGGGGAAAAACAAACAAGAGTTATTCAAGAATGAAATCTAGCTGAAGGATTACATGTTTACCTATTACAAGCTAGCTGCTGTCTAATTTTAACGAATTTTTAGAAAGATATTTAACTAATGAATAAATTGGTTAAAAAGCAAGAACAGTAAAGCTCGTAAATGCTGAATTTGATGCAAATATTTTGAAAAATGTTTTGGCATACTAAAAACTGCTTTTCGATTCCGGCCTATGTAATGTCTGCAACAGAAAGAAGAACCTTCAAAACTGAAAGACTAGTTCGCATAGAAACAGACAGACGGACGGGCGGACGGACCTCATACTGATCTAGAATATATATATCTTTTGGGGTAGAAGATAAAATACCTTCTGCAAGGCTGTCAAAATAGAGTTTTTATATTGATTTCTAGCCTAGTGCTCTTCTTGCCTTTCGAAAGTCCTGAATAAAGCTTGGACAAGCTGAGCAATTAAAAAAATGTTATTAACTAGTAAAATGGCATTATATATGATGGATTTATGATCGCATTTATGTCCGGTCGAATATCACTTTGTGACCCATTTTTGTGGACTTTCCTATGCCAATTGGCAATTGCGAGGCAATCCATCAATGCATCAAGACAGTAAACCCATTTATAATCCTTCATTACCGGACAAATGCAAGCAACAAAAAATCTTTTAATGACCCACAACGCAGCGAGGGGCAGGCTCCTTTCAATGCTCGGCATTAGAAAGGTGGCCCGCAAGGCGGTGGCTGACCCCCAAAACGAAGCCATATTCATGGCTGCATCGAAACCAATTCCATGAAGAGAGAAAGAGAGGGAGAGGGAGAGAGGGAGATGCAGTGAAAGCCATCTGGCATTTCGCACAGATGTTTAACAGGCCAGTCAGGGTCATAAATCATCGAAATAGATACATTTATACATCTATCCATATATATTTATATTTATATTCATATTTATATATCCTTCCTAGTCAAACTATCCTCGGGTGAAATTCGGCGGCATTGACAGTTTCTAATAAGAAAATCTGTGAGATTTATGCCGCAGCCGGCCGCCCCCGATCGCCCGTTACGCTCGATCATTTTTAATTTAAAACTAATCAATAAAACGGCATAGAACGCAACAAATCCATTCAACAAATTGCAAAATGATGCTGCAATGTGCAATGTCACAGTAATTTACGTGCCATTCCGTGCCAAAACTGGCGACGACCACAAAAACTGATGAAAATTTATGCAAAGGGTTAAATGTCAGACATCTCAGCGCTGCGCACAGTGGTACCCATAGATCAAAATATTATTCAAAAAATAGGTTTCAACTAAAAATAAATAAATAAATTTAAGTCATTTTTGTTGATGCTTCAGCCAGATCGAGTTTTAATTTTAGAATTTAGATAAATAGTTATTTACTTTTATTCAAAATAATTTGACTAAAATCGTGAGTTGCCAATACGCGTCATATAACAATCGAAACTTAACCGTTATCAAATATTTAAAGAATATTTATTATATGATACACGAGAGTATTGAAAACAAAAAATGATTCATGAGTTTATTGTTTAAAATTCCCTCATTTTAAAAAATTTGAATTGAAAATGAAAACTGAAACAGTTTCTCCATACTGCAAATTTTCTAGTTTATGCCCAATTTTGTTCATATTTCAATCAATTATTGCCCACTGTGCGCTATTTCCATCCATATTCCTCACTCTTTCTGGCTTGTCTCACGTGCAAAAGTGAAAAGTCATGAATCATATACATATGCATCATGATCGCAACGCACCTTTGCAAACCGAATCGTAATCATGTTCTTGATGATGATGATGATAATGATGATTGTTGTTGCTGTGCCACGCAGCTTGACAGCCTGCGCAAAGCCAAGCCAAGCGATCCGTCCAAGACATCTATGGAAGTCGAGTGGCTGTGGGCCATAAAGTTACATTGCTTATCGCTGGAGAACTTTTAAAAAACACTTGAGATAGCGCTGAGAACGTGCACTGAGCCCCAGCAGCAGCAGGCCCCAATGCAGATGGAACAAGTAGAAACATTGTTCCACGCTGTCAACGACTGTGCAATACTCTGTTCAGCAGCGCTTAACTCTGTCGAAATGCAACTTTTTGATAATTGAGCTTGTGACTCTAAGACTGTAAATGAGATGACTCTCAAACTGTGAACAAATGAACTATTTAGAAAGAAGTTTACGAATAGTTTATGAACTACAGAAATAATAAAAAAAGAGCGAACAAATTGAGGAAATTGAGAAAAAAATATCTATGACGAACAGAGCCATTTTCTAAAAATAAAAGAAGCTTACAACAATTAGTAATTGTTCTTAAAGGTAGAAAATAACTTACTTAAGAGCGTAACATTAGTCTAAAATTGCGCAAAACCAATATACTCCGTTTCGCTGTGCGAACAGAGCATGAAGAGACCTAAGTACACACACCGCAAGGCACCAAAGAAAGAGATAGTAGCAACTCTCTAGTAAGAGAGAAGGGTTGGGGGCGAGGCTTGAGAGGAATCGGTGGCAGCAGCTGGAGTTGCTGGAGTGCTAGAGTCGGTTCGCTTGTTAGGCAGCTTGTATCTACAAATAGACTCCGTAGAGCTGAGCTGACGGCCACAAGACAAACTCAAACAAAAGACCAAACGGTAGTTGCCATGAATGGTCCGCACCGAAAACCGAAAACCGGTAACTGTCTGTGAGTCTTTGGTAGAAGGGGAGCCCGAAAACTGAAAAGAAAAACCCGAAGACTGTTGCAGTTGCAACTTTGTTGTGGTACGTGTGGCAGCATCCAGCCGAATCTCTTTGCCACAGCGTCTATTTATTAACCATGCAGCACTTCGGATGCCCAATAAAACGCCGCGTCCGACAATTCCGAATGCATTTTGTGTGTTCGATAAGCGCGTCGGCGATTTCCCACAACTGATATATGTATGTATATGCATATATATATACTTATATATATATGTAAAGCATTTGTATTGGCAATGGCTCTGCCAATATTTATGGCCAGAACGCTTTTCCATTTCAAACTTGTATTGTTTTCTCATTTTTTGCCTAGATAAGGCACAGGTACGCACAGGTAGATTTGCGTCTAAGTTGGCTTAAATTAATGGTTTCACTTTTCATTTCGAACAGACAAAATAATAGACTCTTCTCTCTTCAGAAATATTATAATATTTTTTCAATAATTTTTATTAAATTTATTATAAAAAGATTCGAATTTCTGCAAAGTATCTATGTAAGTTCTAACTTACGAGATGCCAATGTAAATATATTTTAAAAATTGGAAAAAGAATACAGCTTGATGGATGTGCTTTAAGTAATACGAGTATTTCCACTAGCTTCGCTCGGATTTCCCAGGGGAAAAACATTTCGATTAGATGCAATTGCAATGTTAAGGCAAGTCCATCGATTTGCCCACAGCTTATCGTGTAATACAGAACAATAGACCATTATCGAATAGATCGTGTTGGTCTTACCTGTTCGCCTGGTAGCTGCGAAGTAGTTCAGCGACAGTCCAATCAGATCCCACACATGTAAAGCGCACAAATGAGGTAATTCCTTTGACACAATCTTGATTAATGTGATTTGTAATAAAACGACGATTTCGAAATCTAGGAAATCTGTGCAAGAGCTCTATTTTTAATAGCATGATGCAAAAATAATCAATTTCTATGAGCGATAAGCTAGCAAAGGGGCTCATTTTGATAAGATTGAAATACTTTGATTTAAAATAGCGTGAAATCGAAATCATATAAAAAAAAATAATAATTCTACAACATATATTAAAGTTAACTTTAAACCTAGAATCTGGTAGAAATACTTAAAGCAATTGGAGTACCTAGAAGTTTTGTTTTTCTGATATTAAATTGAACCGATTTGAATCCGGAACTAAATTATTGTTCTTACCACGAATTCAAAGCCGAATAACATCAGCTGGTGGTTCGGTTCAGGGTTTGAACCAGCTTTTTGCTTACAATTCTTGGAGCTATCTCTCCAAAATTCTGTTTCAGTTTCAGCCCTCGTTTGTAATTTAAATGTCATATTGATTTCTGCCCGTTGTACTGAAAATATTGAAAGCCATAAATATTTTAAAAATGCTAGGTAAAATTAATATAAGGGCCAAAAGCAATTTATACCTTGGGAATAAAACAGCTTCAAAAATTGAAAAGTTCCGATTTTGAACCGGTTCCGTTTTAAACGGGATTCAGCAAGTGCCTAACGGCTTATCTGTATTTAAAACCTGCGAGACCTCAGCACGCGGCAGAGGCTCGCTCGCCTGCTTGCGTCATCAGCTCAGCGCCGGTTGTGTCGCTATTTAAGGGTACGCGTGATAAGCGCGAGTCAGCGCCTCAATCAGTCAAAACTCACAAAAAAAAAGTAAATACAAATACGAGCACGAAAATCAACAGGAACAACAACAACAACAAAGCGTGAATGAATTTTTCCACACAAATTGAAATTGAAAATGAAATGTGCGATAGTCAACTGATAAGGCCCAGAGAACGCGCTCTGAGCGCCGCATTTAGATCTTGTATCGGCAGCGCACGCTGTCAGAGAGGAGAGAGAGCGAGAGCCCACGCAGCGTTGTGAGCGCTGCACAGAGCTGTAACCGGTAAAGCGTCTCGTGTAGACTTCCATTGTAGACTTGCGCTCTCAGCTGACCACGTTTGCGTGCAGACACTTGTTTGGCTTTTGCGCTCAGCGCCCTCGTTCAGTCTCGAAACGCGTCTCAAAGCTCGCGCGTCGCGAACTCCTCGTCAGCGCTTACAACGCCTGCGATCGCGTGTAGCGCGACATCATTTGGATACGGTTTTATTTACGGCGCATGTAAACTAAATTGTGTGGCCCAATAAAGCGCAAAGTTGCAAAATACAACGAATTGTGTTTGCCGGCTGCGTCTACCGGGCGTATGTGTAACGGTATGCCAAGCAGACAACACATTCCTATTGTGAATGCCTATCGATAACTTGCTATCGATTTAAACGGTTTACTTTGAATTGTAAACAAAAAAGTTGGTACAAAGCATATAAACGTAAAACAGTTGTAAAATTCGAGCTTGTTTAACGAAATAAATATATAATTTAAGTGTACTCTCATAAAAAATTAAAACTAAAATTGATGGCAACAATTAAAATCCCTTGGAACATCTTTATAAATGCGAAGCAGAGCAGAACAAGTTGAAATACCAAAAAGGTCGTGAACTTGAACAAAATTGATTGGCTCGAAACTTGAAAGGATACGCCAGGCTGCAAAACGCAGCTGCAACTGGCATCGCCGCATTGCACACATACAGCCACACATATAAATGCACACAGATACATGAGGCAAACGCAACGCAAAAGATACATGCCATGTTCCCGCTAACCAACCGCTCTTCGAGTGGCAAAAGCACCAACAACAACAACAACAACAACAGCAGCAACAACAACAACTTTGGAATCGACAGCAACGGCAAGGATAAAATAAATTTCCAAAATAATTGGAGCTGCAATAAAACAACCGGTCGACGCGCTGGAAGCGGGTATAGCTGCAGTTTCTTAGGTAAATTCTCATGGCTGCCATAAGAATAAATAACCGTTAAGTGAAAACGTTTGAGTCGTCTTTAAATTTATCTTAGCCTCATTTAGGTGAAGAATTAAATGATAAAAAAAGAATAGGCTTAATGCGAATAGATTAAAAGTAAATATTTTCAGTTCCAGTTAGAAAATATATACAACTAGGAAAATATACTCAAATAATGCTAACTAGTCCGAATTTGCCATATGATATTATGTTAAAAGTCACAGTTACAGCAAATTAAATTAAAATTCACACTTAATCATGAATCATCCAATGGAAAGCAATAAAAACGCTAATTAAACACAAAAAAAGGATAATCAAATAAAAATTTGTATAAGAATTTTTTTTATTGCTTTAATTAAAAGCAGAGCCTTTCGTTTTTATTGCCATCTGTTTTTTGAAGATTCGGTTTTTACCAATATTTACCAAAAGCTCACTCGAGAGAAAAAATATGTTTAAAATGTCTTAAAAACTTCTTAGCCACACAAACCATTAGCATTAACCAAATAAAATAATTGATGGTCCAAAATGTTAAGGGCTGGTTAATTATTTATTGCTCGACGCTTAAAATCAAAGCGTGAAAATAATAAAAATTGATTATGCGGCTATTCATTAAAGCGGTAATTTGTGAAAGGGCCTCTCACGCAGCGTCCGCCCACTGTACCGAAATTCTGAGAGCCCATTAAGTACATTGCTTTCCATTATCATTTCGCACTGTGTGTGCTCTCTCTCTCTCTCTCTCTGTTTCTCTGTCTTCGCTTCCTTCTGGTAATGCTCCACTAACTGCACAACATTTTAATTTCAATTTTGTTGTTGTTGCTTTTACATTGAAATGCAAATACTTTGCACTCATTTACATGTCGCGTCGCTGAATTTTCCAGTTCCCCTTTCCAGTTGCCCTTGTTATTGTTGTTTCTTTGTTGTGAGCGAGAAGAGACAATGCAACTCTTTTGTCACTTGAAGGGTTCTGCAACGGGGCAGCAGTAAGTTTGTGTGTGTGTGTGTGTGTGTGTGTAAAATGCCATAAAAATTCCAGCAGCGGCGGCGTCTTCAGCTGCGCTTTGCGCTTGCGCAATCCGCAAAGCTTCTTCTTCGTCGTTTTGCGCTCCTTTCGTTGCGCATGCCAAAGCTTGAGTGTGTTGAGGAGAGCGTGCAGAATGTGAAGAGCGGGCGGCGCATTGGAAGCTCTGTCGGTGTGCGCTTTTATTTGTTTGCTGTGTAGAATTCCCAGAAATGTTTTATTTCGAAATTTGTTAACAAGCAGACAGATACAAACACACGCACGCACACACACACACAAACACGCTTGTCTCCACACGCGCAAGCACTCCAGAAAGCCATGGAATATGCTCAGCAGGAGCGGCAGGAGGAGAAGGGAGCTCAAAAGTGTATCAAGTGTTTGTACGCTTAGTTTGTTTATGTGCTGCGCTTTCAAGTTGAAGGTTAAAGTTGAGTTTTACCTCGCGTGAGTTAGAAAAATAGTGTAGAGATGTGTGTCTGTATGTGTTTTTGGTCTTCTTGCGCGTTTCGAGCTCGTTTCGAGTGGCAACAGACAAATCCTTTGTGCGCTCGCATCAGACCTCAAATTTAAACACAAAAGAATGAATTAAACTTCTTTTTTGATGTACTCCAGACAGTTTTGAAGCCAACCAAAGCCCCAAGCGTACAAATATTTACCTTTATTTATCGAATGGTTTGACTGTTTATACAGAAACACAGCAACAGGTACTCACTTTTTGACAGACAATAGAAAAACAGCTTTATATATATGTATGTAGTTGGGCCTCGATTTCCATTTGCAAAAGATTCCAATAACTGGAAGCTGAGCTTAATATACAAATTGAACTTTCCAATATAAAGTTTAAGCAATTCCCAACTCCTGAAATACATAATATTCCAGTGAGCTTTAAAATATTTCTCTACAAAAAAATATGTCTACACAACTTAATTTTTATAATGAAATACCAAATTTGCTATGCCCATTGTATAAGATAGGAAGTTGTTTTTTCCTCACTTTAAGTAGTTCCAATCTGCAACCAATCATGGGAAAAAAATGTATTTTGAAAAGTCTAATAAAGATGTTGTTGTTTAATTGAACAACATGAATATTTTTAGTTTTCGTGATTTGCATGCAGCTGTTTCAATACCTTGGCCTCGGCCCCGCATTTAGTCGCATTTAGAAAGGAAAAGATGAGGAAGAATTTCAAGTGTGCGGCAATGAGTTAATTTTGCTGCCAAAACACACCCTCAGGGCTCATTAGGAGCTGTTTCCAGTGTGTGACTGTGCGAGTGTGAGTGAGATTTATTGGCAAACACTGGCGGCAAATTAGCTGGAAATGCAAGTGGACATGCAAAGGGGCCAGAGAGCACGAGCTCGGTGAGAGGTGGGGTGGGGCGGGCTAGTGAAGCTGCCCGCGGCTCTACTTGGCTGGTTAATTGTGCGGCTGCTCAGCGGGTCGCCTGGCCAAATGAGCGTTTAAAGTGTCGGCGGTTTTAGATTGCGAAATGCGGCAGCTACGTGTTGCAAATGGCATGCAAAAAGCAGCAAACAAGTTGGCAGCCCTCCGCACAAACTGCGCTCAGTCGCTTCTTCTATCCGATTGGCTGTGTTGGCTGTCCGTGTGTGCAGTCACATTTGAATTATTTGACACTTTGCATGCGCCAATCTGCCAGTTGCTCTCTCTCTCTCTCTCTCTCTCTCTGTCCGTCTCCCTTGCTTCTTGCAGTTTATTAACTCATTATTTTGAAATCAACGTATTTGACCGGCGGCTACAGCATGTTGCAAAAGTTTCCTCTCTGCCTTGACAAGTTGCTGCTATTCGTTGTCTCTCCCCATCTCCCTCTCTCCCCCTCTCACTCTATTTCTGCTGCTCAACTTTTCTCCATAATGGAGAGAATCGGAAAGTTTTGCCGTTGATTAAGTGCCCGGCACTCAGTTTGTCATTAGCAAATGAATATTATTATTCATTTTGTGTGCTTCGTAATTTACAAATAAAATTTAACCATATTGCGGCTTGTCTTTTAATTAAGCCAATCAATAATTGTGAATAATCCTTAATTGATAGCAACAACAAAACATCAAAATATTAATAAAAAAAATGTGTATAACTCTTATAAATTTATCATTATTTTATTATTACAAAAATAGTTAAAAAAGTATTTGCATTTAAAGCTAGGCTAGGTTATGCAGGCAGAACAGTTCGGTTGCACCAGGGCTGCAGGCACAACATATTATCGCTGGTTCGCATCACGTCGCGAACCAGTTCCATTCTTTTGGGTTCTGTTTGTAAAATCCGAACCAAGTTATTTGGTTCAAGACTTGCTTTTCAGCAAATAATTTAACTTTTGCTATATAAATATGGATATTGAAGAGCAAATTCAACCGAAATAAGAATTTTTATTTCCGAGTAAAGTCAACCTTAAGTTCTGCTGAACTTTTGTTTCTTTCCTAGTTCAATTAGTTTGTACAACTTTTGCAATTTATTTCAACATGATTAGCTTTTAGCAGTGCACAATTTTCCATAATTTTTGGAATTGTTGACCTCCATAAAGAGAGATCCATAGACACAAGCGCCGATAAACATTTGAAAACCAAAAAAAAAAATCATATTAATTATTTGCACATTTGCTTGTTGATGCTGTTGTTGTTGTTGTGGTTGCTGTTGTTGTTGTTGTTGTTGATGTTGTTGTTGTCTTTGTTGTCGATTGCCAAACAGCAACAGCCGCTGCGTAACACTTTGTTGTAGTAAGCGCGTCGGGCAAAGATAAAACAGAAAACAATCAACATTCATATCTCATCTCGGCGCCCGAGTCAAACTTGGTTCGCGTCAAGTTGTAGGCGTTATACATGACGGTAGCTCCGAAATTGTCGAAAGAGACATCAACAAAAAACCCAAAAGCTGAGTTTGGCTAGAAAATACCCTAAATATTTTAGACGAATAGCAGTAAAAGGGTAAAACGCTTCAGATTCATGTTAAAATTTTAGCTACATATAAATAATAAAATTTTTTGGTTATAATGCCAAGAAAGTGCTCAAAATTTAGGTACTACCAATGTCTAAAAAATAATATTTTTAAATACGTTCGGTGTGGTAAATAAATCGAAATGCCAAGGGCTGCATGATATCATTCATGAAAAATATTCTCATATTGCAATTTATTGAATGAATTAATTGGCGCTGGGAAAATGAGTTCTTGTCTGCGTTCGCATCTTGCTTTTCAAATTATTCAACTGGAGCCCAACATATGGACTCAATGTGGTTTAAATAGTTTCACAATACAATGCAATCGAAGCGCATATGATGAGATATAGATACACACATACGCATATACTTAGTATCTAGAACTTTTTAACTATAAATGTGCGATCTTGAATTCAATACCTTTAAATGGTTGACTAATAATTGGTTTGTTTTACTTCGTTTGGCTTATTTTATAGTCTCATTTGACGAATGAGGAGAGAGAGAAGGAAATAGAAGAAATTTTGCATATTTAATAAGTCGACTTGCCCGACTAGAGATACCCTAACTTATACTAACATCAAATGCAGCTCTCGCTGAAAGTTTTAAATGAAAGATTCTTCATCTGCATATACTTTTCTAAAAGCTACAAGTCAAATTTGGTGCCGCTAACCGAGTTAAACCCACAGAGATTTGCTTAAAAAACATGATATCGATATCAATTGTAATCGATTGCTTGGCGATGGACAGGTTATCGATTATCGTACTGCGCGGGCACTAGAAGTATCTAAGCCGAAACTTTCAAGTCTAATGCGCCTATAATTTCAGGCAGGCAGACAGACAAATAAGCAGATATGGCTAGATCAAGTCGGCTATTGACGCTGATCAAGAATATATATATATATTTTATGGGGTCATAGATGAATCCTTCTGCATTCAGGGTCTAAACAAAGACTATGTAAACACATGGCAAAATAAACTTATGGTGTTTCTAATCTTATATTGTCTCTGGCTTAAAAAATGT